TTGCACATAGTAGAAGAGCAATGGTAATTAGTAGTATGGTGCATTGGTACTTACCACCATGTTTGACATAATATAACAGCAAATTGCAGACTTGACAGAGTATAGCAATATCACTGTCTTTCTTTGCATTGAAGAAGAACAGGAATTGACGAAGGAAATCAGAATTAGCACCGAAACTGCTCCTGATTGAGTAGGAAGATAGTCAATGAGCTAGCTCAAGGCATAGGTTAAAGGCTTTAAGCCATGGCAATACTTACCAATCAACCCTCTGGCAGTGCTCCCCAAAAGTAGAGCAAAAGTTCCCTCGAACTTCCGAACGTGCCAATTCCAAATCTCTCTTCCCTCTGAAGCATTTCTGCAGCTTATAATTAGTTAAATTCCATTTTGGGAAATAAAAACATGTTTGTCTTATGTTGATACATAGGAAGTACCGTTTCAGCCACTCTACACAGACCAGATTGCGCATTGCCTCGTCAGGCAAAAAAAAAAAACAGATTTCTTATACTATATTGCTTAAGCTAAACAATGAAAAAAAATAAACAGATTTCTTCTACTAGAATTGCTTAAGCTAGACAATGACATATTCGCAAGTTGCACGACAACATTATCTCATCTCACTCCATTGAACTTAACCAACACAATGACACATTCGCAAGTTCCATAATTATCTCATCTCACTCCACTGAACTTAACCTACACAATGACACATTCGCAAGTTCCATAACTACATTAACTTATCTCACTCCACACAACTCGTCATATAACACAAATTGGAAAAGGAAAAACAACTTGAAGCAAACATCACCTAATGCTGAGAATTCCAACATGCCAATGCTACCCACCACCACTAAAACCACACGAACCACAACACCTATAAGCAAATAATGCCCGAACGCCGCCACTGCAAGAGGCCGCAACTCAACTCAAGTCCCCACGCGCTGGAGAAAACCCCGCTAAACCTAGCGACGCCGCCCCGCCTCACAACCCCCCAAAACCACCGTTCCCCTCGCGCGGGAAGCCTCGAACATACCTGGATCTTCGTGGCGGAGCTGTTCTGCAGGCGCAGGCCCAGCCGCCGCCGCCGCTCCTCCCGCGTCTGCTCGAGCAGCACCTGCCGGTCCCGCTCCTTGCTGCTCCGCCCGCCGAGGTCCACCCGCTTCCTCGCCGTCGGGTCACCGGAGAAGAACATCCCCGACTCCCCCTTCCCCTTCGCCTGCACAATCCCCCCGCAAAAAAACACACAAATCACCCAAAAAATCAAAAAAAATCGCAAAAAATCGGCGGAGAAAGGGGATCGGATCCTACCGCAATGGAGCGCTCCCCCGATCGAAGGAGGGAGGGGGCGAGGTAGGGTTTGTGGGGGAGGGAGGGAGACTTGCGGAGGGGGAGAAGCGAGGGAGGAGTCGAGAGGTGGAGGGGAAAGAGTTCGTGTTCGTCGGGGAGAAGGGACGAGACTTGGGGGGAAGGGGAGAGATGGTGGTAGCGTGAGAATTTACGGGATTGCCCTCCGCGGCGTGATGCGGCTGACGTACTGGCCTTTCCTGTGATGCGCTGACGTGGGCGTGCGTGTGAGGAACTTTTATTTTGGGGCAATTGTGTTCTTGACCTCAGTTTGAGTTGCAATTGTGATTTTACCCTAACATTTTAGGGTTTGTGATTTTGCCCTTACTTTTTTCAAACGAAGGTCTGTTTTGCCCCTATTCTGTTAGCATCACTTAACAGCGTCAACTTAGCAGTAGAAGGACTTGTATACCCTTACACATTTGCCTCTCCTTTCTGGATATAATGTGTATATATTTCGAATTTGACCAAACTTTGACAAATTTTGGAAGAATTTAACATATTTCTGCAGCATTTTCAAAGAACTTGCATCGGGTGCAAAAATTCACCAAAAAGATTCATCACAGGAAGAAATCACCATTCACCAAACAAATCTCTCGTAGATACAAGACAGGAAAATGGGAAAGAAAACAGGGGATTTGCAGCAGATTTCCACCATGCACAAGATTTACTCCATTATGTCTCCTAATCCTGTATTTTCAATAGCGCTAGGCCTCCGTCCCTGCACCGGCAAGAGGTTAGGAGCGCCAGCCCGCCGGCAGCAAGTCGTGCCTCCCTGCGTCCCTAGCCTGCGCTCCAGCCCGAGGTCGCCGCCGTGCCTGCCTACATCCTTTAACAGCGCCATCCCGCCGCCAAGCTACCTGCTCGCTGCTCGCTCGCTCGCTGGCCGACGGAGCCGCCGCTCCTCTCCGCCGCGCGCTGACCGCGGGGCCACCGGTCGCCGCGCCGCGCCTCCATGCGCGCGCGACGCCGCCGCCGCAGCGCCTCCCTGCCCGCGCCCAACTCCGCCGCGCGCTGTTCCGTGGCAGCTGGCCCCCGCCGCCGCTCCTCCCTGCCGCGTGCTGGCCGCGCGTAGCCGCCGCCGCCGGGTTTTGGAGTGGAAATCGGGATAGGGATTGGGGATTTGGTTCTTTCATTGAACCAAGGGTAGAATGGTCATTCAAAAATGATAATAACATTTTCTATCTTCGTTTAATTCTGAAATTCCGGACCCACCAAACTTCTGTCAAAACCAGGGGTAGACGGCACTTCATTTTAGAAAAACAAGGGCAAAATCACAAACCCAAAAAAATAGGGGTAAAATCACAATTGAATCGTAAAGCAAGGGCAGAAACACAATTGCCCCTTTTTTTTCGGAGACAGCAGCGTGTGAGGATTACAGGTCGGTTTGCGGTGATCGGGGTATGTTCGGGAACTCAACTCCCACGCACATAAAACTTTTTTTTATGATTAATTAAATACTTCCTCCGTTTCACGATGTAAGTCATTCTAACATTTTTCATATTCATATTGATGGTAATGAATCTAGATGAATATATATGTCTAGATCCATTAACATCAATATGAATGTGAGAAATGCTAAAATGACTTACATTGTGAAACGGATGGAGTATTTATTATTTTAAAAAAAATTGATTAATATGTTTTTTAAAGCAACTTTCGTATAGATATCTTAAAAAAACCCCGTATTATTTAGCAGTTTGAAAAACGTACATGCGGAAAATGAGTAAAATGAGTTAAGAAAGTTGGAGAAAAAACTTAGCCGCAAGTGTTTGAAACCGATGAAGATGTTTTTTATAAAAAAAAATTGTTAACGAAGAAGGGCGAGATTAACAATGAACTCCATTCTAGGAACAAACGGCGTTGTTCTTGTACGATTTTAGTCATTTTATCCATCGGTTTTAAATTTTTTGAGCATCGGTTTGGGTGTTAGGTGTTTTCGGTTGCAGAGAAGCAAGGGTGTTTTAGTATTTTTAAGTTAACTTGGTAGCCCATTCACGTCGGACTAACGCAATGGTATAAAAGGGCCATAAATTTCATTCCAATGGCATATAAGAGAGCAATATATTTTCGATGGCATATAAAGGAACTAATGAAGTTTGAGTGGCATATAAGGAATTCTCAAAAAAAGTGGTATATAAGGAATTTTTACTATTGCCATTCATGTGTGATCGATGTAGTGACTAAGGAGATCGCAATTCAATTACACGTTGAAATGTTGCATGCGCACGGAGAAGAAACCACAAGCAGCTGCATGTGTACGAGGAGTCTCGCCTACATGCAAACGGAAAATGGTGAACATTCAATACGTGAGACTTGTTGCATGCCTACATGCATAGAACAAAACGATGCACGTGTTTATCCTAAGAATGTGCGGTGGAAGAGAAATACGGCGATCAAAGATATAAAACTTTTCCAGCGCTAATACGTCGATCATACATGAACGGATGGAGTATTACTTATATTACATGTGACGATGAAAAATGTCGTTGAATTACACACTTGGTATATTTAGGGTTTACGTTTAGAATAACTCAATTGATAATATGGCATACTTGATAAAAAGGCAAGTGAGAAGATAGCGGCATTGAACGAACTAGGGAGAGAGATAAGAAGGGATAGATAGGGGATTCTCTTTGACATCGGTGACACATAAGGTAATTTTCTTATGAGACTAAGAGCAATGTTGAAACTATTTTCCAATGAAGGAAGGTCTGGAGCCAAATATCATACCAAGATATTAATAGTTTTAATAGTTCTTTGATGGTGTTTTATTTGCTGACAAAGTATACCAGCAATACATATGAGACTAAATCAACCCTAAGGGGATGTTCGAACCTTTATATTGGACGGTGACGGGGAGCCTGACCAAGAGCCGTCCCTACCGCCACCTCGACCAACACCTTTCTTCAGCCTTGCCGTTTTTTGCACCGCGGTTGTCAGAGAAACAAATCAAGAGAAACACTCTTGCACCCCTCTTCGCACCGCCGCCACCGCTGGAGATGGGGCGCATGGCCAAGAGCAGCCCATGAGCCCATCCTAAGGTAGCCTTCAGGAAGGCCGTGGCGGAGCGGTGCCGCAGGCGGTGGCACTCTTGCACCCCTCTTCGCACCGCCGCCACCGCTGGAGATGGGGCGCATGGCCAAGAGCAGCCCATGAGCCCATCCTAAGGTAGCCTTCAGCAAGGCCGTGGCGGAGCGGTGACGCAGGCGGCGGTTGTAGACGAAGAGATAGTAGAGCTTGAGCTCGCGAGGAAGTGGCGCCTCGGCCTCCACCTCCCCTCTCATGAGCCCACCTTATCAACGACAGCATCGTGGGCCCAATCTTGCCGGCCTCCCCGCCTCGTCCCTCTCTGCACACGCTCACCGATGGAGAGAGAAGATAGAGGTTGGGGGATGAGATGGAGGACATGTGAGTCCCACTTTTTTTTTGACTGACATATGGGCTTGACATATATTTTTTAATTTTTTTAGTATTCAATTTTTCTCTTTTTATTTTTTGAATCGAACGATCATGTAAGCGCCACGTAGGATGAAGATCTTGTTTGCACTGGTTTTGTAAGTTGGAGAATGCGTTATATCCCGGTTTTTCGCACTGAGGATGAAAATCAGAATGGGCGACAAATGGAGTATCTAAAGTGAACCTATTCCTAATCTCGATGTCGTGGTCCAATTCCAGATTAAACCATTCAGCCCAAAGCATAGTCCGTCCTTCCTTGCTCTCTCTCTTCCGTTTGCCTTTCAGGCATTTCGCCGAACACTCTTGGAGCAAGCGAGCGGCGGAAGGACGGCGGCTCGCCGCCGAGGGCGACGGCGTGGCGGGACAGTGAGGGAGCCTTATATCAACTCGGAAAGCACGTGGAAGGCTGCGCAAATGGGGATCGGCGGCGGCGGCGGGGATGGAGCTGCTCCAAGCCGGAGGGGCTGAACCGCGACCACCAGGTTTTGGCTCGTCAGGGTCTCCGTGCCGCCGCCGCCACCGGCGGCGCTGGTGTTCTTGGGCCGCGCGTAGGATGGGCGGAGGCCGGCGGCCTCAGGAATCTCCTGCTGCTCCGGTTGCTGTAGCTGCAGGTAAAGGTAAGGGCATGTCTTGTAGCCGCGCGGGTGTTGTGAAGTAGTGGATGGCTGCACAGGTTTTCGTTGCAGTTCCGATTGATTGCTCGTGCGCAGCTCTGGGCTCCGAGAAGATGCAGTTTGTGCAGGAAATGTTCTTCTGTGTGAGAATCGTTCGCTGCCACATGCCAACTTAGTAGAGTACCAAATCTAGTGTCAGGTTTTTGAATGTCTAAGCATTGTGGGCACATGACTACATTGTCGATCTCCCTGATGCTGGAGGCACAGTTGGAACCTGGTCCGATTTTGTGCACTCTAGCATGATTTGTGTGGATGTGGTGGATGAAGTAATCGACATATTCGGGCATTTCTTGTCCTGGATGTTGGCTAAATGTTTGGCACCGCAAGCGAGCTATCATCATCGGTATCTGACCATCTGATGCGTGAAGCCACATGAAATTGATGACAGCCTGCGACATTTCAAGTTGCTATTTGCGAGCCAACCATTTGTTTCAGGGATGTAGTAATCATGCCATTCCCTTTAGAATTTAGTGTGCCCTTCTCCAATTTTGAAGCATGCCCTTTCTGGACATGTTTCTGTTTCAGTACTAATCAGGTGCATCTCTGCAATATTTGAGAAACAAGTAAGCCTGGTGCGCGTGTGTTCCCCTTTTGTTTCAAAAAGATTGTTTTTGGATGATGACAAACTGACGATTTCTTTGTTGGCAAGTTCAGGTAGCATAGGCATAGCCCAACCTGATTCTGAACGATTTAAAGATATCAAATTAAGAAACCTGAGTACAGTCCTACCATTCCCTTCTGAACAGAATATTTATGACTTGATATACATGTGGTTGGAATGCTCATATTTATATTGCTTTATGATTCTTGAAGTTGAGGACATTCATTAAAGGATGCTTTTTGAACACTGTTTTTAAACAACACCCAGTTTCTGCTTTAGTTATTAGTGCTGAACAGACATTTCTGCAATGTCCCACTTAAATTGATACTTATGGAACAAAATTCACTTTATATAGTAAACTTAGAGCAATCATTTCTAAAGCATTATTTTGCAGGTTCTAGATTATTTTTGAGATTGGTTGTAATTTGATCAGTTCCCTTTTTGTTATAAACAGCAAGCTCAATGAATAGTTCCATCAGATTGGAGCTACTTTGTCCTTTAGTTGGTTGCATAACCAATGTCTTATCTCTGTTTTTATCTTCCAAGAATTACCGTTGACTTCATGAAAGAAAATGTTCTGTTGACATACTGTTATTTTTGCGTATTGCAGGCTCACAGCCCTTGGATAAGGTGATGTAATGGTGGATTTTGATCTACTCTGTTGTGTATAGTACATGCTGGTAAGTGATATAATGAAAATGCTTTGAGGGTTCTTTTTATTTTTTGAACAGTGCTGTCAGGTTTCATGATTATTCTTATCTCCATGAATTACTTGATCACTCTTTTTTTTTTATTTTACAGATTATATCAGCCTGCATGAATTTGGGTAGTTAGAGTGGCCCTGAGGAATCATTGATGCAGTCATCATCTGCCGTTGTGACTACACACCATGCAGGGAAGATTAATGGGAAGGATTGTGATTATACAAGAGTAAAACTATTGTTGGTTTTCTTGCCTGCAGCTGACCTTGACTCTGGTTGCAAGCAAGGGCTTGAACTTCGTAATTAAAGACTGTGTTAACCGCCTATTAAAGAAGAATGGGGGTGGCTGAACTAGGTACACACCATGCAACCAACATCCTTCAGTAAGATCATCAAATATAATCTTTTCCTGCTTCAGTATGTATTGATTTTTGAGAGAGTCACACTACTATATAAAGAAGTGAAAAGTTTCGAAGTGAATATCTTTGTATAGTTGTATAATTGAAAATAGAAAACTGCATGTATAATTGACCGCCACCAGACCACTTCACGGATTTGCTGTGATTTATATCACAATAATTGCTTATCACTGACTCATTCTTTATTAATAATATATGCATACGGTTCTTTAATGATATGTATCTTTTGGTTCCTTTCTGTTTCTGCCATTGAAAAAGAAATTAGGAGGTGCATTGAAATATAAATTGGGAGGTAGAGGTGCATCCGTTAGGCAGTATCTTTTTTTTACTACCCTCTTATTTGCAACTGACTTATAATATCATGTTCTTTCCGACAGTGCATGAACATATATATATCATAAAACTCTCCATTTTGTTTGATGTGATGTTGGCTCTACAATTATCTCCCATTCACAGGAAAAACCATATGTAAGTTGAGTTGACACTTGGTGACTGTCCTGAAGTATGAAATTTAATCTAGTGTAATAATGGTGTGGTTTGCAGAATTACTTGCAACTAGCTTATGCCAACCATGTGTCAAAAGTATTCTGATTTCTCTTAAGATTTCTTAATAGATCATAGTTCTCAAAAACTATCTATTGTGCTCTGTAGTTAGGTCTTACTTTTGTGCTTTAGAGGGACAAAGGGAACACGGATAGTTAGCTGAAAAGGCTATATTACATACTTCCATACAACCATAGCTTATATACAATGCTAGCAATATTACACATCCGTCAACTAACTCATTACATATAAGAGAGAACATGGATAGTTAGCTGAAAAGGCGACAGTACATTACTTCCGTACAACCATAGCTTCTGTAGACTGCTAACGATATTACACACCCGTCAACTTAGGCACTACACCATCATAATAGTGAGATATCTGACGATAGTAGCCAGACTGCCAGAGAGCCAAAATTTTGGGGACAGTTTCAGCTTCCTAATCCCCACTGGTCCATAGGCATCGTCTGCAATTTAACCAGCAATTCCTATGCTTTTCCCTCACTGGCATTGTCGCTGTCATCATCGTCAATTTTGAAGAGTTCTAGGCGGCTGTGGCTCAGGCGGAGTGAGTACATTGTCGTCTTGTACTCAGCCCAGGTGAATGATCGGTATCGGCGTGGGCTGCTGGCTGTGATTGTCTCTGGGAGTGCCGAGATTCGTGCATGCAGGGGTGGTGATGCGAAGTATATTGTGGACAGCCTTGGCCTGCAGGCGGTTGCAATTACCCTGTGCCGGATACTTATCAGCCTCCCATTTGTCAGAGCCTGAAGAAATAAAGGCCAAAGAAAGGATAAGCCGAAGAATGTCAGGAATGCAAAACTATGTCCAGGCTTACAGCATCATGTTTTAGTGATTTGTTTTTTTAAGTTGAGTAAAACAGCGGTAGTTGCAGGATAGAAAGAGATTTTTTTGTCAGCTGGTAAGAATTGCAGCAATACAATGAATTTGAGTCTGAAAATAACAAACATATCAGTGTTGCATTTTTTTTGACAAAAGAAACATTGTTCAGCAGTGCTGCAGCCTTATGAATCAAATGATTAAATATATATTACTTTCCTGTGTGTTTTGCAGTGAGCAAAGAAACATTTTTTATGAATAACTGGAAGAAAGCCACATAATTTGTAAATCATATGATAGTCAATGCGGTCCTTTTATAATCTATGAAATAATTTCTTTGCGGTCCTTTTATAATCTATGAAATAATTTCTTTTGATAATAGTAAACCTTATTCTGATATATGTAATGCTGTTTTTTTTTGCTCTAGTCATTTACTGTGACTACCTGGAGGACATCACCAACATTGACGAAAATGGCCGATGGGTCCGATGGCACCTGAACCCACATCTCCTTGCCCTCGTGGTCCGGCACAAACACCTGTAGCCCTTCCACATCGTTTGCTCGGAGCAAGCTAAGGATCTGCGGGTCAGAGTGCTCGCCGAACCCAATGCGCCCACCTGCCATCAGATTCCCACCATTGCTAGCCTTGGTGCTAACAAGGCTCTTGATATTGCATTGGTCATCATGGTCAAGTTTGTGAATGTTGCATGATGGAGGGTAGTGGTTGATCCTCAGGAGGCAGTCACTGTCAGCGTTTGTGGTAAGCTTGCTGAAGTATCTGGGGTCCTTGAGACCTAGCCCCTCTCCTAACAGGTCCAGGATCTCACATGCGAGCTTCTTCATGGCTTCAATGTACTCATTCACAATAGCACTGCAACAGAGTGAGGGAGGATATCAGCAAGTGAGCACAATCAACTTGAAATTGATTTTATCAAAAGAATGCTGTTATCACAGAATCAGGTTGGATGTGCCATGACAAGTAAAAAGAAGCTGGAGAAAGAGGAGCAAGGTCTTTGACTGATTGATGGCTGCAGCAAATCAAAAGCTGCACCCACCCTCCCTCGGCATGCCTGCCTGATGAGTTAGAAAAGATGATACACTGATGGGTATATGTGTATGCCTCTGTGCTTGTGCACCACCATCTACAAGACGTGATATATTCGTTTCTTGTGAATCTTGTGATGCATGGATAGGCCACAGAATCAGCAGTACATCATGCAGCCGAGGGGTGACAAATTTTCCAATGGGCAAAAATGTGTTGTTGACAGGATTGGCCATACTTTTTTCCACTGCTCCATGGAAAGACCCATCAGTGCGTGGATCACAAGTATCACTGCCCCTGCCACTACACAACCTCTGGGACATTTCATTTTATCTTACCATAAAGAGGACTCCTTGCATGTGTGCCTCCTTTCTTTTGTTTGGCTTTATATGGATAGCATAGATATGCTCTTTAGGGGCCTGGATCATTTTATTCTCATCAGACATGTGTGTACTTCCATGTGGGCCCCTGTCTGTTGCATTTGACAAAAAGAGGTTGTTCTTCCTTCTTGTCTTGCACTTTTCATATAGCAAAATGGTTACTGTGAAGATTTCCTAGCCATTCTGTTCTTAACCTGATGCATTCTTGATCATTATTATCCCATTCTTTGTGTTCACTACTTCACTGGCATGTTGCTATCAATATGTTTCCAAAATGATGTGCTTGTGATAATTAAGCTTAGGCTTTTGAGTTGATTAAGGCATTAAGATTAATATTCTTGTACTAGTATGGATATTATATATTAATGGCTGATGTATGTATGGTGATAGAGAACTAAGAGGAGTTTCAAAAAGTATATATCATGTATATCCCAACTAAACACATCATTTTCTACATGAAAACCTGCTGTACTTTGCTAATTAAGCTTGCAGAGCTTTCTGGTAGATAAGGATGCTTCAAGTACTCACTCTGTTGCTGCATCAGTTGGTGGTTGGATATTGCCATTAATTGGAAACCACTGCATATATGTCAGATTGGTTGATACACAAATATATACAGTTTGTTGGAGAGGGACCCTGAGAGGAGTCTTCTAACTACCTAAGTGAGGGTTTTCTTGTCCATTTCATCATATTTTCTCTCAGCAAACTCTGATTAGGCCACTACCTGGTTCTGAGTACAGTCAGTGAGTGGTGAGTAATCTCTCCTAGTATGTGAGCTCTCATTCAGCATACACAAAGATAGTTAAGGAAAATCTGATATATTATTGTCTTAGTTGGTAGACATTTTCTCCAATGGCAATATTCGCTTTCGCTTTCAAAACCACTTATGTAGTCATTTTTTAGAGCAAAAATGAAAATATCAATTGGTATGCTTGATCCTTTTCCAATGTCTATTTGGTTAGACAATGATACCTAACTTTCATCAGAAAATTTCTTATGCCCATTTTGTGGAGCTATCAAGTTTGTTATGTCCCATCAGTTGCATGCTTTTCTTTTGCTTTAGAAACTAGCTATGTATGATCTTAAATTGTTGGAACTAACTTATCATTGGCCTGTCCATCATAGCATCAATTATGCCATTATTGTGATAATTATTGTTTTGAAAACTATGTACTCATGCATTTCCGTGATTTAATTGATGGGACCTGTGTCTGAAAATGACAGTATACATATGGATATGTACTGAAGTAGTACTATGAAGAATTAAAAATGAAAACCCCATATGCTAACATAATAAGTTAAAATTATAACATAAACTGCAGCTTTCTTGAGTCAACTTTTTCTTAATAAAATTAATGTAAATTGATCTTAATTTACCTTAAGTTATAGTATATGATGACATGAGTGTAACATTTCCATCCTTTTCCTTATTGTGTAAACTAACATTTAGTCCATCCTTGATATATAGTCAAAAGGCTACATCAGAAGATCATAACATGGAAAATATGCAAGCCAAACCAGCTGAAAAGAAAAGAAGCAAGCCCAGTTGCAATTGCAAGCTTGCAACTGGCATGAGTGCAGTGCAGGTATGCATGATTCCAACTTGGCCTTCTTTTGACTTCTGAACACAATATATTATGCATATCTATAAATTAATTGCCCTGTAGCTGATGAAAAACCCATAGCTAGCTAGACATCTCTCAAGCCAAGCCTATCCTACATATGCATCCCATGCATGCATGTAGATAGACATCATGCAAGTCTATACCTTATACTACTATATAGTTATAAGCGAAACAGTATATTAGTGATTAAAAAATAATATATAGATAAAACTTTTATACACATGTTCTTAGTAAATACTGAAAAAATAAATTACGATAAAAAAAACCTAAAAATTAACTATAAAATTTATTTTTTCTTATGCCTGTAAACTGAAGGCTAAACGATGGAGCCCTGAGCCCTCTAAATATATAGATATGTACCTGATGCTTCGTTGCATCACCCCTGAGCAGTACTCAGATGCAGAAATATGTAAGCATATCTCACTGTATTTTGACAACACATGAAAAAGATAGATAGATATATTGTAGATAGGAAAACCTAACCAAGCTGACAAAACCCTTTTACTGCTACCAACCCACACTACTACTGCTTGGACGGCATCACATCAGCAGTGAGACAGATGCAGGATTATGACATGAATATGTAGATGTGGCCGGTTAGTTAAGGAACACAGCATGATATATATTTAATTTTTTTTGCATGTTCATCTCACACTGCAGGGACACCGGACACCCATGCACCGTCTTAATTAACATATTATTGGATCATATATAGTCGTCTTTCATTAACAGTTTAATTAAGTAATCAAGCTTTAAACCCCTGTAGAGGTCAGCTAGTTCAATAAAAATACTTTAGTGATGCACAGGGACGAGGGGTCTAGCAAAAATAATAAAAATGACAATCTTTAATTATATGTGTATGTGTGTGTATACGGGTAATACTTAATTAATAATATATATTATTCACGTTGCCTCATATATAGTTTAAGACCATATATGCAGTGCCATGCATGTGATTGATATGCGTTTCAGTACATAATACATAGAAGAAATTAATTATATTGTAACTATTGCAATATTTGCAATATTAGTTTATTGTTGTAACAACGACACTGTAAAACTTAGTGAATATAGTTCTACCACCATGTATGCTTAAATTTGGGAAATGGTGGGGTTATCAAAGATTTGTGACAAAATTTATTACGAGCAACCAAGCGCATCCGCAAAAGGATCGAGAGAAGTAATTAAGCTCGTGTATGTAAGTTCTTAAAAAAAAAAAAAGCTCGTGTATGCCCAGCTACATGAGAATTTTTTTTTTGGATGAACCAGCTACATGAGATTTTACTGTCAACAGAGCTTTTAAAAGGCACAGAGTTAACTGTATAATATATCTTATATAGGATACTCCTTTCCCGTTGAAAAAAGAGCCTTGAACTTTTCAAAATGAACTAGATATAACTTTGTCTACTTAGTTGTATATTCTTTATCACCAATCCAAATGTAAGTCATCTTTTGAAGTAAAACCATAGGGAAAGGATCCCTACAATCCAAAAATAAGTTATACAAGTATATAATCTCTTACGAAAAATTATGTTTTGATAGAACAAGGCCACACTATTAAATATGCCGAAAATTTGTACTTCGAACAATAATAATTATCGTCGAAGTTAAACTGATACATTAAAACAAATATATTCTTCTGTGACCGGAGTCCGGCACACTTTATTTATTATAGAATATGCATGGGTAGCATTAAGAAAAAATTAAACCATAGAGAACATTAGTTATATACATGCATAACAATGTTTTAAATACGTGTGCCATGTAAGCATGCATACTTTGACACGTAGGCGCAACACAATACGCCACTCCATCCGTTCCATGTTACAAAATGTTTTGGACTCTTAAAAGTTCATCAATAGATCATGCATGAATTTATTCAAAACCCAGAACATTTTATAGCGTGAAACGTGAATCTATATATTCAAAAACCCATAACATCTTATAACATGAAACGGGGAAACGGAGAAATGGAGGGAGTAAAAAACTAATCGATTAAGCTAGGCTAAGAGTGAGTGGTGGTATTGTACGTACCTGAAGCGAGAGGGGTCCATGGCGTCGATGGTCCTGGCCCGGTGCGCGACGGCGGCGGGGTTGGCGTGGAGGAGCAGGTACTCCAGCTCGCCGACGTCGCCGTTGAACCCGATGCTCCGGCAGCCGTACCCGAGCGGGCTCGCCGGCCCGGCGCGCTGCTTCTCCGCCGGCGCCATCGCGAAGAACGCCGCCGTCGCGGCGTCCAGCCTCGCCGCGACGGGCGCCGCCGCCGGCACGCCGTGCCCGACGCACCGGAAGAACCCGTGCGCCGCGCACGCCGTCGCCACCTGCCTCGCCACCGCGCCGCGCTCCGCCGACATGTCCACCGTCGCTATCGTCACGCCGCCGCCGCCGCCGACGACACCGGACGCCGCCGCAGCTGGCGGCGCCGCCGCCACCACCGTCTCCTGCCTCGCTGGCGTCGTCGCGGAAGGCACCACCATGATCGATCGATCGATCGAGAGCGGGAGAATGCGCGGCCGGAATGGAGTGGGAGATTGGAGCTCAGGATGTTGGAGTTGGCTGCGATGATGGAGGAGAGGAGGGTGGCGCTGGTATTTATGGACGCCGGAGAAGAGAGAGAAGAAGGAAAAGCTGGTGATGGTGGTGGTGTCATCTTGAGGAGTAGTACACAGCTTAGCTGGGAGAGTATAGTATACATGTGTCAAGCAAGCCACAAATCTCAATTAACTTCTGATTAATTAGTTTAATTAATGAATGACACCTGCATCATCTTGCTAGTGTTCTTCTAGCTAGTTAGTGTCATGCTCTCATGCATACTTCTCGTTTAGTACCTCCCTCCATCCTAAAATATAAATAAAGCTTTAAAGTGTGTAAATTTGGTGCATACATAGTCTCCAACGTAAAACTTTAATTTATCCCGTTTAAGGTCACCGGAGACAAAATGGATTTATAAGATATATTAAAACAACTTCTATATAAAAAGATTTCGCACGAGGTAAAATATGCATGTTAATAAGAAAAGAACAATGCCTTTGACTTTTCTTTTCATATAACGTATTATCAACGACTCTAAAATTAATATCATATAAAAAATACTTTCAAATATGAATATAATGCTGCCACATGTACGATCTAAACATATATTATTAATTTAATTATTAGTCAAAATATGTAAATATTGATTTTTTTAAACTGTGGGCTCCTTATATATATTCTGTTGTGAGAGTACCTCTAATTTGCAGGCTCTTAAATTCCCTTCTCATCTTGACATTGAAATGGTTAGCTATAGCTAGCCGTAGGCTGTAGAAGAGGAGGAATTATAAGGTCATTTCTATAAAATATATGACTAATAATGTTTTTCTAGATAATGAATGACTAATAATGCTGGATTAGTCCAGTTAATCGCTACACGATCTAGTTGTGTTTTAAAAAATGAATGTCACTATAGTGCTTTGAATCAAATAAATCACTCTATAGGTCAATATCCAGCATAAACTGGCGCGCACATCACGCAATTGCACGGGTAAGGCCAATATAGTTTTCTTATCTTGTGATCATACTTTGACAAACATACCATAATACAATTGATAATTTATCAATTAAATATCGTGCACATCATTTGTTCTTTTGTAATTGTATAGATCGTCGACTTTTTGCGGTCTTCGGCCCTCGATCGATGGACCATGTTATTTTGACTATTGCTTTTTAAAAATGGATACTAGTCATTCCATTTAGATATGGTTTCGAGCCTGTCCTAAAATTGATTGTCCACACACCAATAATAACAACTATATATAAGGCCTTAATTAGGACATCTAAGAAAAGAGACTTGATCATATATCTATATAATTCTATAAGACTCCAATGGTGGTGAGTCTAGTGACATTGAATCTACCACCATCAGCTACTCACTGTCATGTGAGCCCTTATTGTCAGTGTAACAATTCAAAATTCAAGCAACATCAGAGTTGGTCAGTACCCAATATTTATACTTCTTCATGACTTCCTAACTGTACAAGGTTCTCTAGTATAGCAAGTGATCATCCCCTCCAGTGGCGGATCCAGAAAATTGGTTCGTTGGTGTCATAACGTGTCTATCGGTGTCATAGTATGCTAATTATGTTTAGAACATGATGTTATAGTATATGGATAAGCAGTTTTGCTATAGGTTTTGCTAAAAGTCGTCGGTGTCGCCTGACACCGATGATTATAGTGTAGATCCGCCCCTGATCCCCTCTAGAATGAATGAGGTCTCTAAAAAAGTGAATGTGTTTTCCTTTTTTTTAGATAAAATGAACATTACATGTTTATACTGACTATATACAGTCGAATTAAAATAATTTGGTATATGTATCAACTATTAACTCTAATATGTCCTAGTCAGAACTCCTATATTTTTTCTAATAATTTCATAAAAAAAATCATTACAACGCATAGGCACCCTGCCCTGCTAGTATAGCTACCATACATCCAACCAGATCATATATACAACATCATTTCTTTCAATAACATATGGCATGGTATATTTGGCGTTGTCTTTTCATTGCTTCCAATAGCTCTCCCCTCCCAATCGAAATGTAGAAATGTTTTTGACAATTGTCTCAAGGGAGTGTCTAAACTAATTAAAAATTAATTTTGTTTGGAGCCAATGATCTGTATTAGTCAGTATGGTTTACCACAGTTATATAGTTTTTATTTATAAAAAAATAATTCAATGCATATCATCTTTATATCTTCCACTTGGTTCACTATTGGTCTATAATGCTATTACAAGGGACCAGGATACTATGTACTTTGAAAATCAATAGCTAGGGATCCTTTATCCTACTTTAGGTGACATAGTTTCTTTATAATTTTGTTATAGAGTTTTGTGTGATTTATTTATTTTCATTAGCTCAGGAGTTATCATGCAATTGGAAGGAGATGCGAGTTTGTTGTATAACCTCGTATCTTCTATTTTAGAGTCAAAACTTATTAGTTGTGTGTACCGATGTGGAAGATGTAAACAATTTACATTATATAAAATAAGTACATGCCAACCAAATATTTTTTTTAACATAACAATGTGCCTTGTATATGGTACAAATATGATGTCCAAGAAAAGGGAAATGAGGAAGAAAATTAGACCCTAGCTAGCATGCACTCAAATATATGTGCAAAATGAACAACCATTCATGCATGCCTAGCTAGGGGAAGCTAAGATTAAAGAACTTCAGGGTTCAATCACTAGTATGGATGCAGGGGAACCAGATTTTATCAACACATTAATAAAGTTTGACTCCACACCAATTCGATGTCATATTCAACTAATCTATTGAGCCACTAAGATGGCAATTAAATATCATCCGACACCGATCGAATGGTCCCTATCAACCAGTACACTTCTGGCCTCTTGACTGATGGATGGAAAAAAAACAAAAATATGGTATATGACAGTGTGTATATATATAAATATATATATGTGGACTGAGGAGGAAATAAAACTGTTACTCAGCATCCTATATACAACAAAAATAAAATAAAATCAATTAGTAAAATATAGAGACTATAAGCTGACATAAAAATAGCAATAACAATATGTTATCCACATATAGAGATGACAAAAACAATAAATTGCAACATATATAATTAATTCTTGAGACAACTACTATTTGGTCAGGTCATCCTGGAGCATATATAGTGTACAGTACTGACCAATTGTGTGCCGACTTGATTAAAAATTAGCATATATAATTAATTGATGCCGTCCATTGAGAAATTGGAGATAAGCACGTGAACATGTTGTTTCAAACCAACAGAGTTAATTACATCCTCAATATCCTATTATTTCTATTTCACCGAACGAATATATATATATATATATATATATATATATATATTTATTTATTTATTTATTTATTTCCACATATATAGTTGGAGTGAGTCAAGCACCAATAATGCACACACATTTTAATTGTCCCAATTTTAAGCAAACAAATTATTTTAAGCGGTTTTCCTTTCAAATACACCATGAATGGTTTAACTTGCAGCGGTCGGCTTACAATTGGTCTCATATAAATTGTTAAATTTGTTTTTCCGTCCCCATTATTTTGGAACTGCATTTCACTACCGTTCTTAAAATGGACGTCAATTCATTGTGTTTAATCAGTCGAATTAAGCATCTTGTTTGTAAATTCTTCAATTAAGCAAATTCTGATAAGCCACACCAACTAGTAAATACTAGCTCTCAGTAAAAGAAAAACAGAGAAGTATATTGGAGACCAGAATGGTCTTGAAGGCTTGAAACATTTCACAGACCTGATTACCTGATGTTCAGTTATCACAGGAACTAATTAATTTCTTGCAGTCTTGACCAAAATCCCATTTAATTGTTTCCACCGTGCATGCCACCTTTTCTTTTCACAAAAAAAGGGTTTCATATTTTCTTTTGCTGTTTTAATTTGGGTGGAGTATGAGCTGAGCCAGATGCAAGCAAAATAAATAGAGCAGCTATAATTTTTTTAGTACACTATGGTGCAGAAAAAAAAACATATATATCATTTCTGCATTACATATATAACCAATAATTAACCTAATTAAGGAAGACATTAGTACAACATGGAGAAAAGGTATGGCCTAAAATTCTGAAAATATTTAGGAACAAAAAGGCAAAACCAGACACCCAAGTATGAATGTGGGGCTACTCCTGGTGAGTCCTGATATGGCCTTGTGCCATGCATCCTCCTTTGATTAGAAAGTCTGGCTGAAAATCTCTGAGACAGAAACATGCTGCATTGTCATGATAAAGAAACAATGGACAGATCACACGCACGGGTGCATCAACTAACCAAACTTACTCAACACGCATGCCATTTCTAATAATTCTGTTCAACCAAATGACATGCTTTGTGTGTGTGTTCTATGTGTCTTCCTCAAGTAGATTACGTTAATTTATACACAACTGATTTTGTTGAATTATACATAAATAATAACCAGTTGACTAAAATCCATAGATGGAAAGGATATCACTTCATTTATATATATATGTACTTCTCAGGCAGTTGGAAATATTTTTTTCCCATTATCTTTAAAAAATAGTTAATACTTCTCCCCTTTAATTATATGGAGTACCATTACTGAGTTTATCATTACCGAAAACTAAAAAGAAGTTCCATCTCCTTTAAAAAAAAGTTCCATCCATCAAAGTCCTAATCAAATTATTGAATTAATCATGTTTCTGTTATTTTGTTTGAGATTTCCTTTTTAATAATAAAATAATAATATCCCGCTATACTTAGAGTTGCACAAATCTCACTTGTTAAGTTCGATCTTAGCTACTCGAAGGAAAACAAAAGAGCATCACAAAAGAGAAAAAAAGGGCAAAATTTTCTCATACTTCTCCCATACAATCTTCTCTTATCTAGTTGTGTAGACATGCACACAGAGCCATGGCAGACACAGGGGGATCTTGATCAAGATATTTGGTTTGTCTATGAGTTTATTGGATATCCGGTGAATACCCAGATTTTTGGTTTGTCTATGATCTATAGTGCGCAAAGTGCTATGTTTGCTTTCTTGGTTAGTTCATGAATGTTTCATTCAATTGGTTG